ATTCAGATACCCCTAACTTCCTTCTCTTGTCTGATTGCTCTATCTAGGACTTCCAACACTATGTTGAACAGGAGGGGTGAGAGTGGGCAGTCTTGTCTTGCTCTGGTCTTCAGAGGAAATGGTTCCAATTTCTGTCTGTAAAAACTCCCTCTTCTATTAGGTAGGGCCTAAGGTTTTAAAAACAATGGATATGGGAGGAAAATAAAATTTTATTGACAAGTCAAAATGCGATAACAAGTAGCTTAGCAGTTCTTTTCAAAGAAATTTTAGGTACTGACTTTTAACACTTACGTAGCACTGTACGCTTAGAAAATCATGGGTAAGTCTACAAAAGGCTAATAATAATGCAGCTCATAATAGTTTTGAATCTGTCTTCAGAAGTCACATAAAGTAGCTAATGTATGTGATTCTAGAGTGCATCAATGAAGTAATTTGCAAAAATCTAAATTTTAACCAATGAGCAATTGTATTTAAGATTTTTAAGAATGTTATAAATTGTATATAAGGAGTTTATGTCAGGGAATCTGGAAAAATGATGCCATATTGCCACTTAGATTATTTCTTATTTCGTTAAATGAAAAAAATGACTAGGAGACTCAGCCTGGAAACTAATTCTCCTAGCACTGAAGTAGCAACATTCAGTTCATTGTGTTATAACTAGTCTGACAGGATCTTAAAATGTACAAAAGACAATCAAAACTAGCAGGATTGTTTGAAAGGTGATTTCACTTTGATTAATGATAAAAACTAAAATAATTAAATTTAATATAGAAATCCATTTAACTCTAAGCTATTTGGTTCCTTCAATATCGAGCATGTATCCTTAGCATATGGAGCACTGGTAAAAAAATTAGGCTTTGAAGCATAAGCTTAGAAACCCAGCTCTGCCCCTTACAGATGAGATGCAATGTGATACTTCATCTGAGAAAAGAGGGCTAACACCACACATCTTGCAAAGCTGTTAATAAAAGGATCAAATGAGCCAAAGTATCTAAATGTAATACTTGCGAGTTAGTAAATAATTAATGGTTTCAATATAAAAAATACATAGAGAAACTTTTTTTAAAGATTAGCTAAGTTTTGTTAGTCACTTAAAACTAATAATTTAGTTGACCAGCAATGGTCATAATGTAAACAAGATCTATGAATTTAATAGATCAAAATATTAATTAATATTTTCATTTTTCCTGACAAACTTACATACATACAAATTATACTCCAGTCTATATTCTTAAGACTTAAGATCTTCTAGAGTTGACAGGAATTAAATTTCAAATCATTTTTCTAAAAAGAAATATGTAATAGAGTCAAATATATATGTTCTTTTTACCTTTTTTATCTTAATTGGACAGATGGCTATTTCCATTTAGATTCTAGCTCTGTTGGTTGACTACAGAGCTAATAAGGGCAGAAACTTGAATGAAGTTGACCTCTAGCAGGCCAATTAATTTCTCATGGATAGAAATTCTGTTCTAGGTACAAACTGTACTTATTGCCCAGACACTCTATTATTAATAACATGGGGACCAGATTAAATTGTGTGAGTGGTTTAGTACCAACCTGGAACTCCTAATGAGAAAGAAACAAACCATACATCCTTCTGAATAGGCCCGCAGCATCATGTTCTTGTGCTGAATGGCAAATTTCGATTAAAAATGCCTGGGATAGTCAGTGATCATTTTATTACTACCACTAAATTCATACTTATGTTCTCCCCTTTAAAAAGCTTCAAAGGCTCCTGAGTCCTTTTAGAGCCAAATTCAATCCCTTAATTTAGCATACAAAGACCTATCGCCCTTGGGTTATAACCTGCTTTTACACTACTACTTTCCTTAACTTATTCTACAGTACAGCAAAACAGGACCACTCACCACTCCAAGAAGAGTCCTGCACGCTGCTGTCTCCTTGCCTCTGCCTGCTCCCACCCGCAATCTTTCCTTTCAGGCACAGGCCAGTGCTGCCCTCCTTTCAACCCACAAGTCACTCTTCCTCTTCTGAGCTTCCACACACTGCTGAGCCTCCCATAGGGCTTATATTCTGACTGATAACATACAACTATTTGTGCACTCTCACCTCTCTCAGGAATCAGTAAGGGTCTTAAGGGTGAAGACTGTATTTTTGCTTCTTTGTATCCCCTAATACCTTGTCTTGCAGAATTCAATAAAGAATAATTCCTGGTTATAGAATGATTCTATTACTCTAAAATGTAGAATAACCAAGAAAGCAAATCTATGATTCATGTTCATCTAGGTTAGATATTAAGAGATTATGTTAAATTTTGTAAAAGAATGAATTAAACATGGGCAGAGAACTTAAAAAACATTAAATAATATCATGGTACCTTATTATTAGTATTGTCAAACCAGACCACATTATCAGTAGTTAAAGAATAAGAAGCAGTGAAAATTTTCCACTTTAACTCTTAACAGGCTTGAAATCAGTGATAAAAGAATTGTGTTGAAAAAACAAATTTTCTTTCCTTTTTTTTTTTTTGTTGAGTTGGAGTTTCACTCTATC